CATTCGTTCAAAAAATTTCATTTCAGGAATACAAATCTTAAAAGTCAGAATTGAAGAACATCACCAGGAAATTGAGGAAAGATTGAATGTACTAGACATTATTCAACCATTTCTCGACATCTAAACATAACTTGACTTTCCATAACATCTAAACATGTTATGGAAAGTCAAGAAGCTTGATAATAGGGTACCACATGAACTCAGTGAGAGAGATAAGAAGCATCATTTAAAGGTCTGCAGTTCTATAATTATTTGTTTTACAAAAATGAAAGTATTCAAATGAAATTTTTCTCCATTCACCTTATTCTTTAGACTTTTTCCAACAGACTGTCACTTTTTTATACATTTGGACAGTTTTTTTGACAAGAAAAGTCTTCAAGGAAGGGGATGCAATAAAAAGTACAGTACCTTTAATAATTTTTTGGGTTCTCATTCTTATGATTTCTATCAAATTGGCATTAGTGCATTTCTATTGCATTGGTGCCAATTTGATGTTGGTGAAGACAATTTTTATTGAACATGTAAGTTTTAAATTAAATTTAATAAATGTTCAAAGTCAGAAGCAAAAATCAACTATTTCATTTCCAACAATCTAATATTAAAAGATTATAAAGTTAGTCCTGATGAAAATTATGTAGTCTTATTACATGCTTTTGCCATAGATTATTATATATCAAATCCATATTTTAGCTTTATCCTACTGTAAGTTTGGAGGTCGACTTATAAGGTAGATAGATCTAAACCAGAATTTTGAGTTGAAAACCTTGAGATTAACTTACTGTATATGCAAGTTTAATTTATACACTGACATATGGTAGTGTATCAATAAACTAGGTTTGTATTTCTAGCTCTAAAGGAAACTAATTACATGTTTTGTATTATTTAATTTTATAATTATTCTTAATGTAATAAAATCATTAAGTTTATTATTTTTTTGAAATTTTTAAAATATTATCTTTCTCATTATCTAAATCGAATAAGACATGATATCTTACAATGTTCTTCTTTTCGATAAAAAATAATTTAGCTTTTTTTTATTTTAAGCATATTCTGAAATGTATGTTATTGGAAATTATAATTAAATGTTCTCAGTTTGTCAGGGAATTTTATTTTATGTTTAATTAATTATTTGAAAGATAATATGATTTTTTATTGATAATTGTGAAATATTTATTAAAGGAAATGTAAAAAAATCTAAAGTAATTCTGAGATATGTTAACTGATTAAGACTTTTTAATTTTGTCATCATCATAGAATTTATGTTTCTACTGCAGAAAATGATTTTTTTGTTTTTATATATTTAATATTGTTGTTGTAATTAATTTAAGAATAATACTTAAAATAATTATCATTATTATTAATATTAGTAATAGTTAATTAATTAATTAATTATTTAGCTGAATGCTTTGAATAAATTCCTTATATGAGATAAAATCAATTAAACATTATTGCTTTAAAACAAAATTTACTAATATATAATTGAATATTTATGGCATTTAAAATATATTTTCAACTTAAAATTAACAAGATATTAACAAAATAGTTGACAGATTGATATAACAAGCACAGTACACTTTGAATTCTAATTGAAACAAAGTTACTCTGAATTTTTCTTTTATAAAATAATAAATAAAATTCCTAGACTGTAAATTTTTTTAACATACAGGGTGTCTTGGTTAAATGTTTCAGGACTTCTAAGAGAGGTAGGGTGCATCCTGACGACTCGGAATCGTATAGCAATGCAGGGTCGGAAATGCTTTCTTGAAGCAGTGATGTACACAGAAACAGCTAACCTCTGGTGCAGGCTTGCAAAGAAATTATGGCTGGGAATACACCTCATCGGATATCGTTCTGCGTACAAGTGCTGTGCAGCTGGCCCACTACAATCTGCAGGCCCATACACCAAATGCATATTGGCTAACTCTGCATCCTTGTGTGAAATGATGAACACTCAGAACTTTTGCGCAACACCATCTACCACGTGAGGAAAGCATTTCCAACCCCACATTGCTATATGATTCTGAGTCGTTGGGATGCACCCCTCTTAGAAGTTTTGAAACGTTTAACTGAGACACCCTGTATATTCAAAGTTAAATGGATATTCTATTATGTAATTTTTTCAAAATTTAAATCAAAAATGAATTAAATAATAAAACAATTGAATTGGTTGTAATTATACACACTTAAATATATTTTGCAGCAACTCAGAACTAATAGTTAAAATTTAAAGCAAAAATATTTAAATTAGTAAAACACTTCTTTTTAAATTTACAGTGCTTGTATTTTTTTATATTGTCAATGATGTTTAATTAATTAGTCATTTAACTTGAAGGACAAATATATTTACTTTTTTTTTCATGTTTAAGCATCTCTAACTTAAAAAACCTCTTTGATAAGATTATATCTAAAGTTGCAAGTTAATGTTGCTTTTATATTAATTTTTTCATAATTAAGTAGTTAAGAAAATGACAATAATTTTATCTATGTAAAGTTTACAAAAACTTAAAATTAAGTAGTTATCCTTGATAAATTCCTTGCAGATTTTGTTTTTAAATTTTAATGATGTTTTTAAAGAAAACTTCATTGGTAAATAGATATATATAAAGATATTACACTTTTTTCATAGAGTTTTAATAATTCTATAAGAAAAGGTATAATACATTGTTAACTCATGAGTAAATAATAATATTGATAAACTATGTAAAGAAATCAGTTCTGGTAAAGTTTCTTATATAAATGATTTTATCTGTATGCAATGAAAATAAAAATAAAATTATATATTTGTTTAAATTTTAGAATAGGAATAAAATATGATTAATTTTAAAATGTTTCTAGTTTAATTTTCGTGCTGTGAGACCATCAACCAAAAAAGATTTTTTGGATTAAAGTGACTATACAGTAGACCCCCCTATAACGCTTAGATACGTTCCACACTAATCGAATTTTACGTTATAGGAACGATTAAATACATGATCCAATCGCAGCCCGATAGGTGGGAACTTTACGGACTAAGGCTGTTCGAAAGGTTTCCTNCTTTCCTTAATCTTGAGAATGGTGTTAGTGTCAATAGCTTATTAGTTTATTTATTAAAACACCATGTATTAATATATTTGTATATAAAGTTCTGAAATACATAAAAGCTTACATAAGTCCACACAAAATTATCACATACATTTTATTTTATAGTTACTATTCTTAAGTTTTTCTGTTTGGATCATTATCATTTTATGTTGTGATTTAATCAAGTGTGATAAAAATGTTTAGTTATTTAGTAAAGCAATTTTTATTCTTTTTCTTTGGGAATTTTTTCTAACTGTAAACATTTATAGATAATTTTGATTAATTTTGTTGAATTAACTGAATTTTGTAGTAAAGGTAATTTTTTGTTTAATAATTTAAATAAATTCTAGATAATTTTTAATATTTAAAATTAGATTTAATAATTGATTTAAATTATAAAAATTTATAAAAAATGAATTATCTTGTAAAGGTTTTTTTTTTTCCTGGTGAACTCAAGTTACCAGTTGGATTTTCTCCAAAACTGCAGTTGCATTTTCTCCAAAACTGCAGTTGCATTAATGCAAATATTATCTGCACTGCACAATTTTTCATTTTTCAGTAAAACAAAGTAGGCCTATTAATATTTAAGGTTACAAACTGATATTCCAGAATATCAAAAGACCAGGAAGACTATATAAAAATATTGTTTTTGCATATATAACCCATGATGCCTCATAGAAAATTGCTAGAATGAAAAATAAAATCTTTATGAAACTTTATATAAACTGTACCCTCTTTTAAATTTTCTTGTAAACACAGATAACCCATGAGTTATATGCATGAAAATGCTAATTTTGTTAATACTGTAACATTTTTTCAATATTTTAACTATTTTCAGTCATAATAACATAGTTAACAGTCTAATAGTAACTATGCTATTTTATTAAATTTGAATAATGTTTTAATTTTTTTTAAATTTGCTTTAGAAAACTGTATTTGTCTGGATAGTGACAAATTCTTATTAAAAATTAAATATTATTATTTTATAAAAATGTAACAAAGATTACTGTTAAAGTGATATAAATATTATTTTATGAATAATGTTTATATCATTCTTTAGGCTTTCATGGAATAAAAATGGAGTTACATTTATTAGTCTACATATGCAAGGGAAAATGGTTTTTTTTATTTTCAATATGAAATAGATACATTGTATATAGAACATAAGTTTTATATAGAACTTATAAAACCATTTTATAAGTTTTATTGTTGTGTCCCCTAAGGCGTTTTTAGACCGTTTTTCCCTCTAAACAGTCTAAAAATGCCTTAGGGGACACACCATCAACTCTGGGCAGATGTAGGTCTAAACTTAAAACAGAAATGTAAAAAACCTAAAGAGGGATGCAAGTTACACGAAAAAATTGCACCCGAAATGCATAGTAAATAAATAAATAAAGAATACAAAGATAAGCTTTTGTCTCTGATTAAATGCGGTCCAGGAAAAAAAAAACTGGTTATTTCTGTAGAATTAATCCATGAAATTTCATGAATTTTTGAGGAAATATTTTTTTGAAAAATTGATTTTTAAAAGGAATATAAAGAAAACCACACCATTGATATATACATATCTATTACTTATAGCACAAAATTTTTTAGTTTAACAAACTTTTTTTTGCTGCTGCACAAGGTTGCTTGATTTAAAATCTCAAATTTTTTGCAAAAAATGTCAAAAATTTCAAATAGATTATGCTGATATCACTTTAGCTGAACAACAAAAATTAAAACATGTTTTGAAGAATTTTCATTGATTAGCTATAGCAGTGAAGTGATATACATTTAAGATCCAACACATTGGCTCCATTTGTATTCTGAGAAATAATACAATACAGTAATAAATTTTTAAAATTTATATAAACATTTATTTATATAGATTTTAATATAAAATTATTCTATTTTATTATGTTTTTGAGAAAAATTTAACTTAAATTTTTGATTTTTAGATAATAGCATTGTTAATTTTTCAAAATTTAATGATGAGTTCTTCCAATGAAAATATTTTATCAAATAGTGAGTAATAGTCTTTTTGTATTTCTGTAGGTGTTTAAATTAAATAATTAAATAGCAAACTAATCATTCTAATTAAACATCATTATATAAATTAAATAAATATTTAGTTTCTATTATTTTTATTTGTAAAGATTTGAGTAATTTTAAAGAGTTGTGTTTAAATACTTGGAAGTTTAACTAACTTTTTTTTTTGTTTTAATCCTTAGAATACTGTGAAAAAGAAGACATGAATTGCTTTATTAATGAATTTCCTAAAACAATCAAAGAATTTGGTTATTATTTTAATGAATGTAAGTATTATATATATATATTATAATTACTTTAAAATTTTTGGATAGATGTAATTCATTTACACACACACACACACATCAAAGAATAATTTATCTGATTTTATACCTTTCTTCATAAAACTAAAAATAATTGTTAATAAAAATAAAATTTTATATTTTCCTACATTATTTGAAATCTATTCTGTTGCAGTATATGTTACATTATTTAATATTTATGCTAAATTATATAAAAAATATTTTTAAAGAAATTTAATCTGTAAAAACTATTGAATTAAAAAATTTTATCTATAATATTTTAATGTTTTTATAATGATTAAAAGTAATCATGGACTTGGACTTTCTATAAGAATAGTGTTACACAATAAAAATCCAGTAAACTCTCAATTTAACAGACTAATTGAGGGAGAGGGATGTCTGTTATTGCCCAAAGTCAGTTAAATCAAATGTGTTTTAAAAACATATATTAACTAGCAAACCCCGCCATGCGTTGTTGTGGCTCAAAATGTATGTATTATAAATTTATAACACTTCCCCCATGGGGGGAAATTTTTCGAAAAATTTCTTCTTAGTGTACATTCTGTTGATGTACCCTTTTAAAACGCAATCAAAAATGCAAAAACCCACATCTAAAATAGTATAATAGAAGCCAAGTTCTTCACGGTAAGCCTTAATCCTGTCTCTCTCCCCTGCGGGGGGAATATCGAAAAATTTGCTGTTAGTGTACATTCTGTTGATGTACCCTATTAAAACGCAATCAAAAATGCAAAAACCCGCATCTAAAATAGTATAAATAGAAGCAGAGTTCTTTACTGTAAGCCTTAATCCTAACCATCTCCCTTCAGTGGGATTGAATTTCGACATGTATATTATATAAAGACACGTGCGCATTCGAATGCAGCGTTGTGTCAAAATTTCAAAGGAATTGGTAGGAACAAACGAACATTACATTTTTATTTATATAAATAGAAGGTGATCCGCTTTAGTTCATTTTCACAGAAAAGCAAACTTAGGGCGTTGTACTCGTAGTGCCATCTGTTGGACATAAAAGCCTTAACCTAGATTATATCTTTTAATTTATATGAATGTTTAACGGAATAATATACAGCTTATGTCCACCCTGAAGTTTCATTCTAAATATTGGTGAAAGAATTTTTGAAATCGGATGAGTAGTTTCGGAGATTACCTGCTGCATACAAACTTACATACATACAAACATTACCTCTTTATAATATTAGTATAGATTACAGGAAATCATCATTAATTCAAACTTGGAGAGTACAAAATTCCATTAGTTCATAACTGTACTATTTGTCTTTGCTGGAGATATAGAGATTTACATGTTAAGGAATGTGGTTAGTTCGAAATCGGCTAATTTGAAATTCAAAGTGAAAAATCTGTCTGAACTGTCATATGCACTTACATCGAAGATCCTCTATGCTATAGAAGAACAATAGACCAAGAACAACTCTAATCTGGTCATTATGGCTTTGCTTTTACATTAACAAATTTTCGGGTGTCATATTACTCATGGACTAGCTATTTTTCTCTTATCTCATAAAATACAGTTGGGTTTTGGGCTATGAGTAGCAGATTGAAATATCTGTAGGGCTCTAGGCTACTACATTTGGGTGACTTACTACTTTTTGGATCTCTGTAAAAATAATTTTGGTTATATTTCGAGGAATTCTGCTTTACTTTTTATAAAACCTATCTGGCAACCTGTGAGGATCTCATTGGACACGTGCTGTTTACCTGCAGTTTACTTATGTTGTTATTATTAAGTATTAATTAATGAAAATAGCATTCCGTATAAGTAGCCATATTCCGTTTATTTAATAAATTACATCAGTTACATGGCATTTGGCATATTGTACAGAAATATGTAAATCTCAGGTAATTTGAAATGGTGATAATTTCGTCCCTTGAATTTTGAATTAACAAGGATTTCCTATAATGACAAACTTAAAATGTACAAGATGTGTAATAATGTTATGATCTATAAGTGTGAATAAAATTATAATATAATATAATATACAAGGGTCATTCTAAAAAAAAAAGAACGTTTTTTTATCTGACAAGCCGTGCAGTTCTCCCACCACCCCCCACTGCCGCATCATGGACCTTCCCATTTTATCATGCCAGTCTGATGTTAACAGCGAACCACAACAACCGTTTACTGTTTACAGTGTGACTTTGAAATGTGTGACAAAATTAAAGATCCTGCCAAGTGTGAGGTTCATAGTGTAATATGCTTTTTGAATGCAAAAATAGTCTGCCCTATTGAAATCTATGGACAGATAATCGAGGTTTATGGTAATATAATAAATGAAGCTCCAGTTTGAAACAAACGGCAAAGGATTGTTGTCCAGAGGCATTGTGCTTCTTCAGGATAACGAACGTCTGCATGCTGCTGTGTTGAAGAACTTGCTTCAGCAGTTTAAGTAGGAAGTTTTTGAACATCCTCCTTATAGCCTGGACTTTGCTCTGAGTGATTACCATCTTTTCCCAAAATTGAAGGATTTTTTGGACGTGAATCACTATGGAAGTGATAATGAACTGAAAGAGGCTGTTAATGATTGATTCAAGAACTTGGCGGTAACTGAGTGTGCAGAAGGCATAGAAAAGCAAATGATATGCTATGATAAATGTTTAAATTTGTATGGTGACTATGTAGAAAAATAGCTAAGGTATCATGTGTTATAAAATAAGTTTTGTTTCATTATCTTAAATAAAAATATCAAGAGAAACAAATGTTCTTTACTTTTAGAATGACCCTCGTACTTTGAGTAATTTATTCTCATTGACTCTTTCATTCAACCTTTTAGCATGCTTTATTCATGAATAAAAAGGTTTTAAATTTTTCCTATTGGACAGAAATTTTTTGTTTGTTAAATCAAGAGTTTACTGTATTCTTCACTTTTGTAATTTTCACTGTTTAATAAGTGAAAATTATAAAATTTCTGAAACATGATTAATTTAGAAGTAAAAGTTGTTAATTTTTTTTTTTTTTTACATAAATATCTTTACAATGATATTTTATACAGCAGATGATTGGTTACTAAACTAACAGTATTTGGCAATTCTCTACTTAAAACTGACTAATTATTAATATAACAAATCGTCACATGTTATTTTTTACTCTGGATTTTTTCTTTAGTTAATTGATTTTAATAATAATTTAAAATTAATTAATGTGTGTTTAATCATCTCATAAATATTGACTGTGATGATTATACAAGTAAAGAAGTATACTAATACACATTAGAAACTTTATGACTTACTAAGTAATTGCCTGTGATAAATAATTATACTTTCATGTATAACAATCTGAAAATTTTATCATAATCTTTAACAACTTATTTTGTATACAATTATAATACAACTTTTTAAAATATAAAGTTAAATTTTATTTAAAATGTGTTATTTCTAAGACATTTTAGACAAACTTTAACTAATTAAAACAATAATTTACTTTATTCTTAAAAAATATAATAAAATATAAATGAAATTTTATTTCTGACAGCCTTCTATACTGGGGATGTCCAACCCATGACCCACTTAATATTTTTACGCGGCCCACTACACCCTAAATTTATTAGGTATATTTTCATTTATTTTAGTAAAGTATGTCGTAAAAATTATTCTCGTTTCACTGGATACACTTTGACGTTGTAATGATGTAATTGGTGACATAATTTGTAACTTTCCAATCAAAAAAGTAGGTGGCATGGTCTGTCATTTTGATTGTTTTGGTTTCAAAGACTTTTGTAACAAAGTGATGTTGTTAGTGATCATGGGTGTAGCCAGGAAGGGGCATGGGTGAGCACGGCCCCCCAGTTAACCTGGTGCCCTCCCCAGAAAATTACAGCTGAAAAAGTGTTGAGCCGATTTGCAAAAAGAAATAAAAAGTTGAAGCTAATTTAACTGGGCATAGTGTACCGCAACCTGCAATTAATCTCTGAATGTTGGACTGAACTTCAAATAATTGCTTGAATGGATCTGCGATAATTCTCCACAACCTGACAATGTGAAGTTATAGGAAAGTTGAGAAATTCTGATCCTTAAAAAAAAAAAAGGTCAACGGCTTTCTGTGCCCAATGTTAAAAGTGTATCTGTAATCTCTACGTACAGTTCAGTCCCTACGGAGTGATGCCACAATAAGATCTCGCATCACCTGAAAATCTTGCTAGGGCCGCCTCTGGTTTGGGCAGTGAAAAAGTTCTCTTTCCAATTCGGCCCAGAGGAAAAAACTGTTGGCCACTCCTGGTCTATATCTAGATTAAAGATGGTGAACTATATTAAAGAATGGTAAAAAAAAATAATTGATTGGTTAATTTTTGTTTAAGGCATTGCTAGAGTTTGATATTAATGTTACGAGAACATATGATTAAAAGAAGTTTTGTATTTTGTGTGTGTTAAGTTATTGTTGATTCTTACGGAAATTTCATTTTAATGAACAATAATTTGAAATAATTCAATTTTGTGTCAGGTTGGCCTCTACTAGGCCCCCCATAACAAAACTTTGGCTACACCCATGTTAGTGATAAAGCATGGGTACCTTTCATCAGGCATATGAAAAAGACACATAATCCATTTTTTCAAGAGTGTCAGGCATTTTTAGTGACTTGAGGCTAGGCCTAATGTCTAAGTGGAAGGGGCTTTTTATTCTTTATTTCTTTCTAATTTGATGAAATTGTCAATTTATCTAGAAAACTGTTATGCATGTGGGATAGTACATGCTGTTGTGAAAAATATTTTCATGCATGAAAAACATCAAAACTGCTGAAAGAAATAAGTCCAGTGTTGGGTTTCTCATTTCCCAGTCTTTTGCTTGTCCCAGGATTCTGGGAAAAAAGTGAACTGTTTCTTGGGATCCTGAGAAATCGAATGATATAATTATTTTTCATTTTTAAGTAACTTAATACAACCTGCAACCTCCAAAATAATAATATTAATAATGCTGTGTAAAATATGTATAAAAAAATTACTTTTGAGTTACGTAGAAATTCAGTTTATGTTGATTTTCACAAATAGAAAAAGTTTATTAAAGTTTGTTGAAAACTGCTTACAACAAAAATGCCTTTGAATTAAATTGAAAATTTAAAGAAAAAAATGAACTTAGATCAAACTTTTAAGTTAGAAGGTAATTTTCGTTATTTAAATAAACCATAATACAAAATATTATTGTAAATTTTTATAATAAGATTTTAAAAAGCAAAGAAGGTTGATACTTCAATCACTTGATCTGGTTCTTATTTTAGTAATGAGAAGTCCTGCTACCGAGAATGCTCTTTTCAATTCAATTGATGTGGGTGGAATCATCTTTAATGCATTTAAGAGAAGACACATGTTATGTTTTTTCTTCCATATCCTGGGAGATTTCTAGTTCATTTGTGAAATGCATTACAGTATTTCTTTTGCCATCTAGTATTCTTGATTTGTCTACCTTGGCTGCTTTAATAGCAGCATTGAGCTTACAGCCCGATAATTTGGCAGTTCATTTGGCTTTAATAATCAGGTTTATGAAGAAAACCTTCATACTTGCATACTTTGTATTTACATACCAACAGAATGCCGAAAATCTATCGGGCTAGTTTAATGCTAATTATTAAATAAATTACGTAATCAATTTGGCACTAGAGGTAAGCGTTAGGTGCGATCTCTTATTAATATTGATAATTATAAATAAATTAATTAATTGAAATAATTTAGAACCGCTGGGAGAAAAAAAATCGGCCCAGAGCGGGACTCGAACCCACAACTCCTGCTTACCATGCAGATGCGTTGCCAGTTACGCTATCCAGACCTCCAGTCTGATCTCCTCTTCCAGCATATATAAGCTAACTATATAACCATCGACGGTTATTACAACGCCGGCTGGGGACACATTCAGTGCCCACGTCCTACATCTCATAAGGCTCTCAACCGGCCATCACAAGCCCCGGCAAGGCGTAATATGTATACAAACATCTCCAAACCCAATATACAATATAGTTACATACCAACAGAATGCCGAAAATCTATCGGGCTAGTTTAATGCTAATTATTAAATAAATTACGTAATCAATTTGGCACTAGAGGTAAGCGTTAGGTGCGATCTCTTATTAATATTGATAATTATAAATAAATTAATTAATTTAAATAATTTAGAACCGCTGGGAGAAAAATAAAAAAAAAACTAGCCCGATAGATTTTCAGCATTCTGTTGGTATGTAGCTATATTGTATATCGGGTTTGGAGATGTTTGTATACTTTGTATTTGTTTGTATCCTTGCCAAATTTGCACAACCTGGCATAATGCAGTTATTGAAGTTACTGGGCATGGTTAAAAATTAAGACAGCATAAGCACAATTATTCCAGATATTACAGGCTCTGACAAGTAAAAATTTTCAGAGCCCCTTAACAAATAGGCTACATATTGATTATTGACAATCTGTGACATGCCATACATAATAAGCAAACATTTAAAAACCTAATAAGCAGGCTTAAAATTAATAAATACAAATGTATTCTGACTGTTTAGGGTTGATTATACTTTCTACTTGCAAAATTTCCTCAACTTTAACACAAAATAAGAAAAAAGTGAATTTTTAAGAAATTTGCAGGATTTCCCAGGAGAGAAGAATTTTCTGGGATATTTTCTGGATTAAAAAACAGCCAGGATCCTATTGGAGAAACTCTAGTCTAGTGATTCCCATTTAACTAACATTCTTAGAATAAAGACTAGTACCATAAAAGCAGATATAATATTGTCAGTATTATAAAAGGAAGGCAATGTCAAAAATTGCATTGAATTTATTTTTATTTTGTGTGAGTATAATTTCTTTTTTACTGTCAATATTACAGTATTTTTTTAATTGTATATACTTATTATTAAAATTTGATACACATTTTGAACTTTTTAAAAGCATATATTTGTGATTGAAGGGTCGACACTGGATCGATGATGCCTATGTCAGGACTGACATCACTGTCTTTTTGGGTAGACACAGAAACCTCAATGGCCTTTTGTTATTTTTGTGAGCGGACATGTACATAAGTGGTCGGGTTTGGAAGGTTGGATATCTGAGAGACAACACACACTACAACTTAATTATAAAGAAATAATACCCATTTATTTATGTAAACTATTTACACATATAACAGAGAGTTCTGTTATAGTTTTTATATAGTGTCATATAATGGATAAGGCTGATATAGCGTAACATAATTGATTAGGCTTTATACTAGTAGATTCTGGATTAACGAGTTCCTAGCCAAGAGAGAGTGCTTACATTATTATGTGCAATGCTAAATACCTTGATAACTTGATTAATGGGTTGAGACTGTAGATCATTGAGGAAATTGAAGTTTGTTGTATCAGCTTCTTGGATCAAGAAGTTTGAATGCTCGGAGAATGGTGGCGATGGACAGGAATGGTGGTCGAAGGGATCGGCAATGGAGCATGGTTAAACTACATTCATGTGAAAAGGAGGTAGGTCGGCGAACTCTCAGGCCCCGACGACTCTCTTGTCCTCAATTCTACCCTTTTATTTCAGGGGTATTCCCTTCATTTCAATGCCCTCTTTAAGCCATGTTACTATTTTCAACCAAGGTTGAATGTTTGTAGTTAGTTCCTGTCAATGTATCAACTGGGAAAGAAAATGACTCTGGGGTAAAAGATGTGATCATCCTCTGGTAATTAATTGAAAATTTTTTCTTGGGATTTAAACCAATTTAACTTTTGAAAAATGAAAATTTTTTCCACAAAATTTTTGTCAAGTCCTGGCTCTCAAATCTTTATATAAAGTACCTTTGTGGCCTGCTGAATATACCTAAATTTATAATTTGGCCCATTTGGAAAAAAGGTTGGACAAACCTGTTCTATACTAATTTATTTTTAAAATATCAATATTTCTTCTTATTATTAACTAAAATATATAATAATTTAGAAAATTTAATTAAAATAATTTCAAGTATATTTTTTATTAAAATTTTAAAAAATTCTGTTTATTAAATATAAAAGAAATATTAAACAGTTTCAGTTTATATTTCCAAATAATTGCTTGATAATATTACAAATGAGAAAATTATATTAATTCAGCTTTTTATTATTTATATATTCCTGATATTATTTTAATAAAAAAAAAAAAGATTAGAGGTTTTAATTGTGTAAACTCATATAATCTATCAATGATATAAGCTAATTATGGTTTCTTAAAATAATATAACTTAATATTCAATATATGAGTAATAATAATTTTTTTTTTAATTTAGATGGCCAACTTCGACATAGTAAGACAAATGAACCATTCAAATTTGAAGTAAAAGAGGAAGATTATGATTATAATCAAAGACATTATGAAATATTAGGTGAAGTAAGTAAAGAAAAATACATAACATTTTTATTCCAGTTAATTGCAGGTTTATCTAAATATAAACATTGCAAGTTCTAAAAAATGATTCAATCAACAATTTAAACTGAATACTTAAGATTAAAGTTTATAAAGAAAAATATTGTACTTCTTTCAAATTCTTAACAGCTTCAGTTTTTGTTGTTATATATTTACATACCTATTCTGCTAAATATAGACTATAGACAAACAAAAGTTGTCATTTATTAGTTATATGGGCTAATCCCTGATAAGCAAGTTGCCAGATTGCCTCTTTTGATGCCAAATTTTGAGAATTTGGTTCTTTTGTGGGCTGGTTTTTCTTTGAAATGATTTTCATATTTTTTTTTGTGTGTGAATTTCAGAAAAACAGTATCTTTCTGAATAATCCCAGCTTAGAAAAAGTTTGCATTTTAAATGCCTAAGTTTTATTCTTTCCTTGCAATCTTATTTTCTGTATCTCTCTGCATTTTTAATGATACAGTTTTTAATAAATATCCTCTACTGAATTGTTTTTAGCTTCAGGAACTTTTATAATTTTTGTTTTCAGAGGCTACTGTTCATTATCTGTAGTTGACTCGTCTATTTTATATATCTCAACAAAAGTAATTATTTAGTTAAAGCCGTGATAAAATTCAGATATATGTGGAATGTGAAACGCGATCTGCTGACGAGGGACGAAGGGGCTGGGAGAGGGAGGACGACGAGAGCAGAGAGGGGACGTGACTTCAGAGGGAGAACACCGAGACGACGGTTGAAGAAGAAGACGCGCGAAAAGACGAAAGACGAGAAAGAAGTCCTACATTTGTTCTTTCTATAATACTCACAATATATTTTTATGTAATTTGTATTCCTTCAAACGTTCCTGTTATCCACATCTTTCTTGTTTCAATTAAAGTTTTTCAAAAGACAAAGAAAAGTCTCACAGAAGTGGGGGCTCGTCCGGGATAGGAATAGGCTTGGATGTGGGTTAGGCCTAACTCGAAGAGATTTGACGAACTGTGCTTTGGTTTTGTGAGTACGCTGGACATTTACGGACATTTGTGTTTTGTGAAAAGTTCGACGTTGGAGAGTCCGAATACATTGACATTCTGGAAGGACTTCGACTTACGTTTCGGCAAACCGTGAGTAGTTTTAAAATTCTACTTTTAAGATGGCGACGCTCGTAGAAATTATCGGTGAAACACTAAAGTCGGCCTCGACAAGCTCAATAAAATTGTTGCATCAACTTGTGTTCGAAGAGGTTGGGGATAGGAATAACAGGAAAAGATTGAGAACCTTTGGTGGGTTCAATTTTCCATCCAAAGAGGACGAAAATCTAAAAAAGAAAGTGCAATATATTAATGAGAACTTTCGATTAAACGACCTAGTTGTTTTGTGCAACTTATTAAATGTTAAATATGACGGTACGAAAGACGAAATCGTCGAAAGACTTGTTCTTTCTCTTTCTGATTTAAAATCATTACAATCAAATCTGATCTTGGCAGACGTTGATACCGAAGACGAAGATGTATTAGAAGTTCAAACTGTTGTTGATGATTCACCTAGCAATAATTGTCTGCATGTTTCGGATATGACTAAACTTTCCATTAACTTTCATGACGTGAAAAACGTAATCAAACCTTTCGATGGTAGTGAACACTGTTCTATCGATAAATGGCTGGATGCATTCGAAGACTTTGCTAAAATGATGACTTGGTCTGATTTACATAAATTTATATTTGCAAAACAATCCTTAACAGGGTTAGCGAAATTATTCGTTGAAAGTCAAAGCGGTATTAATTCCTGGGATAAATTGAAATCGGAATTAAAAGCGGAATTTGGGAGTAAATATAACTCAGCGCGATTGCACGGTATGTTGGCTAAACGCCAAATGCTCCCCAATGAATCTGTGCAAGAATATTTCTTTAAAATGCAAGAACTAGCTAGTCATGGAAAAATTGAACCTGACGGGTTGATCGAATATATTATTTATGGCATACGTGACATACCCAGCAACAAAGCGATGTTATACGGAGCAGATAATTTGACAGAATTTCGGGAAAAGTTGAGGGTGTATGAGAAAATCCGGTCTACGTATTCTCGTTCGTTTCAGTCTAAACCGAACCTACCTACAGAGCATCGAAAACCCCAGCCTTATCGAAATAAACATGACAGTAAAACCGTCAAATGTTTTAATTGTAATGAAATTGGTCATATTTCAAGTAATTGCTCGTATAAATCCGAAGGTATTAGATGTTTTAAGTGCAAAAAATTCGGCCATAAAGCTAACGCTTGTCCTCAAAAAGAAGTAAACAAAATGGAACTAAGTCATTTCTCTAGATGTAACAACAAAATTGAAACGGATGTTGAAATCCTAGGTGCAAAAACAAAAGGACTCATCGACACCGGGTCGGACGTAACGATGATACCAAGGCATTTTTATGATAAAGTAGGGACTCCGAAATTAAACTCAGATGGTGCATCTTTAATTGGATTAGATGGGAATAGTATTTCTCCGTTAGGTTTCTTCGAAAGTGAAATAAAGATTGACGAATACTCTCTTCCTGCAAATATTTACGTGGTAGAAGGTGATCTATGTAATTCTATAATAATAGGAATAGATGTTCTGAATAAACTGAACTTCTCTATAACAAACTACGGATTCAAAGTCATGGGGAAACGAAGTCAAAATACTATTCGTGTTAATTATACTCGAATTTTTGTTCCCGATGGAAAGTCTGCAGCTGAATCAACACTCGTTAGATCAGATGACGCCTTTGGAAAAGGGCAGACGTCCCTTTCGCATTCCACTGAGCGGGGAGAGGGGAACCGTTTTCAAAACATTAAATCACTTGGTGAGCGCCCACCCCGTGTGGCTAGTGACACAAACGATTTCGGCATAAATAAAAAAGAAAAGTTGACTTCCAAATCTGATACATTTTCGAAGCCTTGCAATGAAAGCAAAAAAATGCGACCAAGTGCAGATATGGGCAGATTAAACCGGTTTAACCATGTTTCGTTCACCGACGACAGGGAGTATGATTTAACTGATCCCTCAGAAGTTGAAAACGAAAAAACATGCTTTTTAGGTCAATTGGCAGATGCGACAGATTGTTGTCAGATAGATTTAAGTCACATTCTGGATAGAAAGCAACGACAGAATTTGATGGAATTAATTACAACCTATGAGCCGAATAAGGTTAGGGATACCGGATTGAAGATGCAAATTATTTTAACTGACGAAATTCCCATTAGTCATCGCCCACGTAGAATGTCATTCGAAGAACAAAAAATAGTAGAAGACCAAATCCAAGAATGGTTGGACGGTGGCATAATCAAACCTAGCTGTTCAGATTATGCTGCGCCAATAGTTTTATGCAAAAAGAAAAATGGCAAAATTAGACTGTGCGTGGACTTTAGAAAGCTGAATCGGAAAACGGTCAGAGATCACTTCCCCTTGCCTTTGATTGAGGATGTGATAGATCGTTTGGAACAATCAAAAGTGTTCACGTCGCTCGATTTAAAAAATGGATTTTTCCATGTTGACATTGATGAGAAATGTAGAAAGTATACCTCTTTCGTTACACACGAGGGTCAGTATGAATTTCTAAAGGTTCCTTTTGGCTTGTGTAATAGCCCAAGTGTTTTCCAACGTTATATTTACCATGTGTTTAGACCATTGTTACAAGATAAAACTGTAGTAATTTATATGGATGATATCCTAATACCGTCATCAAATGCACAGGAAGGTTTAGAAAAATTGAAGCGTGTACTAAAAGTAGCTTCAGAATATGGGTTGGAACTTAATTTCGAAAAATGTCAATTCTTAAAGAACGAAGTAGAATTTCTCGGCTATGTCATCAAAGACGGAACAATTAGACCTTCTCCGACTAAAACAGCAGCCGTTCAAAAGTTTCCACAACCCAAAACCGTAAAACATGTTCAAAGCTTTCTAGGACTCACGGGTTATTTTAGGAAATTCATTCCCCACTATTCGAAGATAGCGAAACCCTTAAGCGATTTGCTTAGAGATGGCGTAAAATTCAAATTCGGTGCAGAACAACTAGAAGCATTTCAAAAATTGAAGGACATACTATCACAAAGTCCAGTTCTCCATATTTTCAAGCGTGGTGCTCCATTAGAATTACATACGGATGCAAGTTGCCTCGGGTTCGGAGCAGTTTTGCTACAACAAGCTGACAACGGAAAGTATTACCCGATCAATTATATGAGTAGGAAAACATCGCCTCAGCAAGAAAAATATAACAGTTACGAGTTAGAAGTACTAGCTGTAATTGAGGGCTTGAAAAAATTTCGAAACTATTTGTTGGGTTCCAAATTTAAAATAATCACGGACTGTGCTGCGTTCCAACGAACACTCGGAAAGAAGGAGCTTACTCCAAAATTAGCGAGATGGTCTTTATTACTTGACGAATTTGACTATGAAGTTGTCCATAGGAAAGGCAACCAGATGAAGCATGTGGATGCACTAAGCCGCAATGCAGTTTTACTAATTACGCGTTCTTCCGACGAAATAACAACAAGAATTGTTTCTGCACAGGATACTGATGAGGATATAAAAGCTCTTAAGGATTCAGTGGGAAAAGGAGAGACAAATGATTATGTACTGAAAAATAACGTTTTATATAAATACGAAAACGGACTAGAACTGTACGTTGTACCCAAATCGATGCAAACTGACATAATCAAGCATATACATCGAAAAGGTCATTTTGCAGCGGCGAAGACGGAAGATCTTCTAAAACGCAATTTTTATATCCCAAACGCTAGAAGACACATAGAAAATGTCATATTGAATTGCGTCGACTGCATACTATATAATAGGAAAAGGGGGAAAGGTGAAGGCCTATTAAATCCCATACCAAAAGGGGACAGTCCTTTGAGCACATACCATGTAGATTTTCTCGGACCACTACCCTCAACGAACAAAAACTACCAGCACATATTCACGGTAGTAGATAGTTTTACTAAGTTCGTGTGGT